TGCTGCTATCTGTTAATTATCATCAATTGGTTTCTGGAAAAACACCATGCTATAAAGACAGCTAAGAAGGTGGTTTGCTGAGGTTTCCCTTCAGAATCCATCCATTTAATCAAGTCACAGCCAGGAAGGATGAAGAGCCTGTGGGGAGCTGATCATCTGAGACAGCGCCAAGACCTTCATCAGTTCCAGCAGTTTGAAATTACAACTTTCCAATTTCAAGGCAGGCTTTAGGATACTCTGAGAATTCCTCTTCCCAAGAGGCTAATGCCTGCCTGATATTCTTTTTTTCATACCACTGCTGGCTTTTAGCAGGTTTAATACTGCTCCTGTGGAAACCAGGGCAAAACTCTGAAGGAACTGTAACACTAAAGACAGAGATAAACCAAGAAATAACAATAAACAACTGGAAAAAAAAAAAAAAGAGAGATTACTCACGGACTTATTCTGAGGTAACAGATGAAGCCTGTTATAGGTTTGTAAGACTGTTCACCACCCGCATCACCTGAGCCAAGGAACAGTGTTTATCCTTTATGGACTTGGTTAAAATAACTATATTGATTGCTTTTTAAACCCTTTTTGTAATAAATGGACTAATTCTGTTACAATGCATTTCAGCTTTTAGCACGATGATGCAAAATGCTCTTTTTGCCATTTGGAAAGAATTAAGACTAGGTAATGCATTTAATTACAGTAAAAGCAAAAAAAGATATTAGGAGAAAGAGCAAAAGAGGCCATTTGGATGCACGCAGCAGTTTTCTTGACAATTTTGGGCAATTCTCTTAAAACTGATAACTGATCCCACACTGTCTGTGCTGCCTTTTCACAAATTTAAGCACATTTTAACACAAATGCTCTGGTCTGCAGTGACCTGCTGGGATTCAAATCAGACCTAGGGCTGCTGGCTACCAGCCAGGTAAATTCAAACTATGTGACAAGGCCTCTTATACTTTTTATTGCTTCTTTTCAATCCCAGGTTCCTTTAAGAGAAAATCCTTTGCACATCTCTCAAGTACAGTTTGCCTTAGTATAAGAAATGTGCTGTGACACTGAGCTGGTCTAAATCAAGACAAATTCACTGATTTAAGGGAGTGATGCTAATATATATTATTTGTCTCATGGTTTCTACTATTTGAGATGAAATGGGTCACTGTGCCCTGGCTTTAGGTCTTTCATATCCTCATTTTTACAACAGTGTAAGAGCCCAATATTTCCCATCCTGGCATTATGTATTTTAAAGTGGCATTTCTCCGGCATTTTCCACTTTGCCTGTGACAAGGCCTCGACTGAACTAACCCCACGGCAGAGAGTGAAAGCATTGCTGCTGAAATACCCCCTGACTTCAGCACAGGCTCAGATTCCGCATGGATGCTTGGAAGAAATCACTCTTGGCAGCTCCTGTAGTACTTGGTGCTGTTCCCACAACCCCAGTCCTGGGCTGATGTAATTAGAGGGCACACAACTGGCTTAAGCTCCTTCCTACAAGTGAGTGCAAATGCTTTATTTAAAGATCAGCCTTGGACTCTTAAAAAAAAAAAAAGTTTAATTACGAATGCCTTTTACCTTGACTTTCACCTGGACTGAGAGGTGACCCCTAGAAGTGGGATTAGAATTTCTCACAGCATCTTATTTCTCCTTTGTGTGTACCTACATTCAGCAATTGCCTTCATCTACAGGAGGAACATCAAGGAGTGCAATCCCTATGATCCTGTTAGGGTCGGTCAGCTGCCACTTCCTCAGAAGTCTTTCCAAGGAATGAGAGGGCACAGACAAGGCAGGAGTAAAGCAGGAATATGACCCTCCAGGAGAAGATTTCTTTGCAAGAGCCAGGCTGCTCCAAAGATTCTGCAGGAATCTCTACAGGAGAGCTGGAATGAGCTTGGAAGTTCTCAAGATTTCAAGGGCTGCTACTGCAACAGCAGAAATACAGGATGTCAGGAGTTTTATCCCACAAAACAGGAGCCAGAACTGCCTGACTCATCACAAAACAGGCTTTACCATAGAAATTATAAAACCATGAGTAAGTGGGGAGAACTTTTCTGGGAGTCTGCATTTCTTCCCATCCAGCCAGACAGCTGAGCTAGGACTTCCAGAATATTGAAATTACCTTCACCACACACAGAGAAGACGATAATTATCTGATTCTTACAGTAGCATATGCAAGGGGAATTACTGGATCCTTTAACTCCAGACCCTCAAACTCTGACCCGCTTCAGGCGGATTTTTGAGAAGCAGCAGCTTTTCATCTCATCCCAATCACAGCCTTATGCTGATCCCAATCCCTACTTTATGCTTATAAACACCACCTCATGGGGCAGCAGCCTGAAGATCCTCATGTGATAAAGTCGCCTTCCTTTGCAGAGTTTCTGCTTTTCACCAGTTCTGCGGATCCCTTGCTGCTACTTCTAGATCTGGTTTTGATTTTAAAAGAATATGGAAACGTACATGGAGTAAAACTGCATTATTAAGAACTTCATGGCTTTTACAAAATCCCTTTGTTTCTGAATTAGCATTATGGAAACAAACACAAAAGAGCTTATAAAAAAACCCCTCTCAATTTCAATAATTATTGGCTTTTGGTATCTCCTCTCCAAAAAGCTCTTTGTTTGATTTGCCACCATTATAATGCCTGCCCTTAAGGTTTCTTCCTATAACTGACAAGGCTGAACATGGGGTGAGGAGACGCTTCAAAACTGCTCATAAGATTTCAAAGAAATCCCTAAAATTAATTATATGACACTATATATCACCACTATATTACACTATGTATCACCTTGCGTTTGTTCTCACTGGCAAGAATTATATGTTGAAAACTCAGAATGAAGTAGAAGCATTCAAGGCCCATCCAGGTAAAGTGTTTCATAAGATGTGAATGAACAAAAACCAAACTGTCTGAGCAAGAATGAGATTTCCTGGGTGCCCAGAGTCAGCCTAACACTGGTCCCACTGACTCCAACTCCAGAAACATGAGGCTGAGGAGAAATGCTTTGGAAATCCTACCACAACGTGCAGATTTTGGGTGACAAACATATAACGGACCTCCATCAAAACCAGGATGAAGGAATGCATTCTGCATTTCCAGGTCTGAAGGAAAGAGCTTTTTATGGGCTGAAAAGAAAGGAACAGAAAGTAAATTTGGCTAGCTAAATTGGAGAGAGGGGTGGATTTTTGTTTCTTTGTAATTGGCATAATTTTTCAATGAAGGAATCTGGAGAATATTAACAGTTATGCCTAAATCTGTGCTGAAAATATTCTTGTCATTTTAGAGCCAAAAATAGCCTCTTGCCAAAACCCGTAAAATGCTTTTGAAACAAGGAAAAGAACAAAAAAAAAGCACCTTCCAAATGGAATTCGCAAGTCTCATGGGCAGGCAATCATCAGCTCCAATTAGTCCCTGGCAGGGGAACGTGAGCAAGAGTGATAGACTCAGTGCATCCAAAAATGTTTAGTCTAGACTAAACCACGCTGGAATCCTCTGCAGACCAGACCTCAGGCCTCTGGATCCCTGACAGCCATCTCTGCTGGCCACAAACAACAACACAGCCTGGATCCCACTCCAGCCTTCCCTCCTACCTCTCCTTATCTAGTCCTAGTGCAGTTCCCCCTCCCAAATCCACAGGCGCTCAGGTAAAAAGCTGTTGACTGCTGCAAGTATTGGACGCCTGGTTAATGACTGTAGGTAATGCTCCCCCAGTCATCTGTACAATGAGCATATGAGCCAAACCCAAAACAATAAACCCAGAGAAACATGTCCATCTCCCTGACAGCAGCCAGAAGCCACTGCTGCCAAAGAGAAAAGAGTCTGGAGCTGCTCTTTCTTAAACATTGTCAGCACAATTAATTCTGCAATATGCTCTGAAAATGTGGAATGTGGCCCATCTGTCCCAGCTCCTCCTGTGTATTTAATGATCAGTGAGTGGGCTGGAATATGAACTCGGTGTTTCATCTCCAAGCCCAGCTTCCCCGCACAGAGGATGCAGCCACTAGTTAAGAATTCCCTCCTTTCCCAAACTCAATCCTAAACGGCATCTCCAACAGAAAAGGAAGCCACCGACTCACGGACTCCTTTGTCACCATCCCATCATCACAATCAAGTAAGACTGTGGTATTATTTTTCTTTTTTTTATACTAGAAATTGGCCACTGGCATTGGCAGAGATAACCTGGTACTTCCCTGGAATCCAGAGAGCTGCACCCATTCCTCTAGCACAGCAGAAAAGTGACAGACATTTACATTAACCTGTAGATTGAGCCACAGGAACTGAGGGGGCTGAGACCTGACCTGCCTGTCCAGAGGTGGGCTGTTACATCCAGCTCTCATCCACAACGGTCCAGGACTCAGAATCCTGTTTTTCCACTAAATTCCAACAAGAGCTCAGTCTGCTAAATAATGCCAGGCTGACATTTTACACAGCAGCAGGACCATGCGCTTAACAAAATGGGCAGAACCTTCTTGTAGAAGGTGTAAGGAAGAATACAAAAGGTCACACAAATTCTCAACATCTGTCACTCAAACTAGTGGCAAACAGGCTGTCACCTTTGATAGAGCAGGATTAGACCATGACTGAGGATTTGGGAATAAAAAAAAAAAAAAGTAGTTAAAATAATGTTCACTGGATGCACATAATTCATTGCAGTTACACCCCACCATGAATTTAATCTGTGATGATTTCACAAGATTACACATGGAAGAAGTTAGATAGTTATATAGATAATATATATATGGTATAGAAATATATAAATGCCCATAATATGTAGATAATAAATCAAACAAATAATATATATTAAATATTTTTATTTGCTTTTATGCTATACCTTTACTATGCTTTGCCCCAAAGACAATGTTTGCCTGCTTATGAAAAGTCCAATACCTGTAAGTGCGTTCCAAGCTTTCCAAATTGAGACTTTGATGAGTGACAAAATTTGCTGGGAAAACAAACCCTGACTCCCATTTCAGCACACCATGGACTCATTTATTTCACTTACCGGATGCACGTACCTGCTTCCATTAAAAGGTGTCACCAGGTGGCCCAGGAATTGTGGTTAATCGAGGAGCCCCCTCTAAACACACACAGGATCACAGCAGCCACCCATTGCTATGCCTGGTGTAGCCAGAACAGATGTTTATTACAGAGATTCTCCTGGGATTTAAGAGTCCTTTCAGGGGAAAAAAAAAAAAAAAAAAAAGAGTACATCTTGAAGCAATCAGGCAAATGACTGTAATTCTAATTTAAAGATAACCATTGGCAAATGAAGTCTATCAGTTAAACAAACTTTCCTAAGGAAACAGTGCCTAGTTTTCTTGGGCTTTACAGGTTTATCCTCTCACTTTAGGCCAGAACAGCTTCCATAGGCCGGCTGCTCTCCCGTTTTTGGGATACACTGCCTTGCCCTGGCCTCTGCTCACACCTACCCTCCCCATATGACCTTCAGAGAATATCTTGTACCTTAAAGCTCTAGAAATAATGCAAGTTCAGAGGGCCCCTTGGAGCCTGCTCCATGAACACAGAACTGAGCATTATTCAGCATTATTCCTGTCTGAACTTAAAAAGAGAGAGAAAAGAGGTCTCATGGAATCGAAATTCTCCAAGCTCTGTCCAACAGAACCCATTCTGAGGATGTACACAAAGTTCAAATGAATTAAGAACCTGAGTTTATGTTCTCCTGAAAAGCCAAACCAAAATGACAAAAAGCCCCTTTGAAGCCTGAAGGAATGTAGGAAACCAGAAAGGCTGCTCCTGTTATGCTTCCAAGGCTGTCAAAACCAGGAGCTGGGAGAAATCTTGTTCACCAGCAATTTCTAGCATGATTTCTCACCGAATAAATTTAATCCAGAGGCAGTTCCTAAATTACAGCTTGATAAAACATCTGTAACAAACATAAAAACAGCTTAAAATCTGCCATAAGCTTTACAAATACATTTTCCATGGAGCAGCTGGAACGTCTGGAACAGCATGAGTACACTTTCTTGTGGAGTGTCTACAAAGTGGATTAAAGGTTGGCCACACATCCTTCAGCCAAGGTTTGGGATTTGCTGCATCTCTGCAGTAATATCAGGAATGACACGTCATGTTACCAAAATCCAGAGTCCTACAGAAGGGATGGGCCGTGGTAGTTTCTGTTTGAACCTCTGTAAATATCATATTCCAATCATACTTCCCAAAGTAGACAAAGAGCCTGACTTACTCCTCTCTTCATCCAGTACAGAAACATTCTTGCAGAGAGGTTTGGTTAAAGGTCAGTCCTTACAGACTTGAAAAAAACCCCAACAAATAAAGAGCCATTATCTGACTCCAACCACAGGAACATCTGAATGCTAAACATGGTGAAAAGGGGCATCTTAATAGCAGAAACATCTGCTTTTTATAAAGTGAGGTTTTGTGCCAGCAGTGCAGGAAAGGAGTGAACACTGTGGCAGTGCTGCCAGTTCCATGGGGATTATGGAGGTCCTAAATTCTCCAAGCAGACCCATGCTATAAGCCCTTGAATTTTGACTTGGAGCAACCTGGTCTAGTGGAAGGTGTCCCCCCCCCCGGGCAGGGCCTTGAACAAGAAGGGCTTTAAGGTCCCTCCCAACTCAAATCATTTCAGGTTCTATGACTTGAAGCAGCCTGGCTTTAGGCAAACCCAGCAGCAGTTCTTTCTGACCACCTACAGCAGGTGAAACCTCACTGCCTTGCTCTCCATGTCCTCCACCAGGGATAAATCCATCAGAGGGAACGGTGAATTGGAAGCTGTAGGAAGGAATGACCATTCCCGACCACATCAGATTTCCTTTCAACAGATTCTGGATAGATTTCCTTTGGAAAATGAAGATTCCAACTAAAAGGGATAAACAGCACCAGAAACACACCCTTGGCATCACTAACAGCCCTGGGATCAACAGGGGAATGAGTTCAGGGAGTTTATTCCAAGCCAAACTTTGGCTAGGGATGCTGAGCAACTCCAAAAGAACACACAACAGGATCCAACAGGAATCTCTGCCATCGAGGCCTTGGGCTTCCCAAGGACAAGGACAAGCCTGTCATTTAAGGTACCAAAACATAAAGCCCCTTCCTGTCTGCCATCCAACTGCCACACACATGGAAACCTGGGACACAGTCCCTCCAAAATCCAGCACCGCTCTCCAGACCGGGAATAACACCCCCAGATGCAGAAGCCTTAATAATTTCTAAAATATGAAAGGATAACTTCATTTCCTCTGTTCTGCTTAATTCTGTTCCCTGTATATAGTGGAAAAGGTCAGAGAAAATGAGATTTCATTCAGGGAACTGATTCATTCTCACAGAGTGTTTTACAGAATGGGGCAGAAAAAGATGGAAATGGATATTCCCAGAGGACAGTGATGTAATATTCTTGCACACACTGATGAGTATCTCAAGAATCCAGTCCTTAGGAGGAAATATTTACTTTTTTCTGGCTAAACTGAAGTGGTTACTCTTTTGAGGACTACAAGATCCATCCTTTAAAATGACATTGCTTTCATGCTGACTTTTTTTCTCCTTTTAAAGCAAAAAATGCAAAATAAATGCTTAATATCTGTTGGACTTAATAACCTCATTATTTGCAGGATTCCCTGTGTTCACCAGCACATTTCTGAATCTGTGTCTGCCACTCCATACTAACCCTGGCACACCTTGCCTCAGAGGCAGCCCACTGTGCTCACACACCTTTGCTGCAGTCCTGAAGACAACCTGATTACCTATCCTGGGGGCAAGAATTAAAAAAAGGGCTTTGTTTCCTGAGAAACATTTATGTCACACAGGGGAACTTAGGATGCGGATTCCCTGCGGAAGGAGAATTTAATTTATAACAAGCCAGTTCAGATGAAATCAGGATGCTCTGTATTCCCTTGTGGAAAGAAGTGAGAAAAATGGTTAATCAAATTTAGAGTTGGAATTGAACTCCTGAAGTCCTGATATATGTTGTCAAAATTAGCAGAAATATTAGACCCTGCTAATTCCTCCAGTCCTTAATTTAGGTGGGCATGATAAACTGCTGTTGTGTATTGGTCCTGTGACTGTGAACTTCAGAAGGACTCGAGCAAACAAGGTGCTCAGAGCGGGGCCAGCTGAGGGTTCACAAGGATTCTCCCAGCAGCAGCAGCACTATCCACAGCCTTGGAGCCAAAGCTCCTAGACTGGTCAGGATAAAGCTCCTCAAGCATTTCAGGGAATGCCTTCTGAGCTCAAAGCAAGAGAAGAGTCAGATTTAAACTGGTTTGATTTGCTGGTACGGCTGCTGGCAGACAAAAATGCCGGCACACCTGCAGAAGCACTCACCTCCCTAAAACTGGGACATTTCCAGCTCATGGTGTTCATTCAGAGGATATGCTGCATGTTGCCATTCAAACCCCAAAAGATGGGCAAGTGTAACAGTAAAATGTTTAAGTTTCTGTATGGAGAGACTAAAGGACACTGGAAAGTTGACAAATGAAAGCAGTTTTTCATCAGGTTTGCCTCCACGCTTTGCCTCCAGGAACTCCAGCGTGTTGTAATAGAAGGAGACAAAGGAAAAACCTGGATGAATGAAAAACCCAACCAACTAATAAAAAAAACCCACCTCAGCCAACCACCTAGCACAATAAAAGAGCCCTCCTTCTGCTTCTCCTGACAATTCCATAAGGAAGCAGCCGGCCTATCACATCCTGTTCTCGGAAGACTCCCATCTCCCACACTGTGAGATCCATGACCACTTTTACCTCTTTTAATGGAACAGCAGATCAGAAAAGATTATCACAATGTTGCCTTTCAGCCTCTTCTCCTAAATACAGAAAAAACCCTGGACATTTTGGGGAATGTCAGTCACTGCTGAGAAAAAGTCATTTCCTCCCTGATAACCTGCAGTTGAAGCCTGAGGTGATTAAAGTGATTACAGATCTGCCTGGAAAATGGATATGCCCATACTTTCTGGGAGAATTCTTTCCCTTTTAATTTGGTAGGAGGAGACTCAAATCCCAGAAAAATGAACCAGTTTTGTATTTCTGAATATAGTTCCAGAAATTGTGGTATTTCTGAAAATAACCAAGTAGCATTTGTTTTGTGGTTTCTAAAAAAAGAAGAAAAAAAAAAAAAGTCTTAATTTATAGCTGTTAAATTTATGTACACATACAACTAAGAACAACAAAATTCCTCCATCCATATGACAGGGAAAACAAAGGGAAATGCTCAATGGAAAAACACCAATCATTTCAAATCAGATGAGGTGCTTTCAAACAACTTTGGGGTTTGTGGAGTTTTTGTCTCTACAAGCCTCTAAGATGGGAGGTTTGTCTGTGGTGTAACTCCCTGCAAGCCAGATTTAGCTGCAAGAAATCCGTGGAGTTTAGCTGCTTATCTTAGATTGTCCAGACTTTAATGGCCTGGAAACACATGGAGCAGTTTTGCCAAGATCAGATTTTTCAAAAATTCCAGTATTGGTTGTGTCTCAAGTTGGCTGGAAATCTCTCCAGCACAGATTCTTTTACACTGGTTTAACAGTTTGAGTTTCAGCTGAAATCTGGAATTTTAAAAGCATATTGCAGGCTTTTGAAATTTCTGCTCGAGAATCAGAAAGCACTTGGATTGGGCTGTGATTTGAGCGGTGACAAAAACATACAAAGCGCAGCCATTTCCCAGTATTTTTCCCTGTCACTTTGCTTCCAAGCTCTGCTTCAGGAGGGAAGAATTTATCTTAATGCTATGATGCCATTTCCCACCATAAATACTGGAAATGTGTCAGACCCCAAGACCTGTCAGCAGAGTGACAGCATTTTAAGGGTAGGTCTGAAAAAAACTGACAGTTCTCAATGTAAACCTCTTTAGGTATCTTTAACAGGTTTTTTCCCATATACAGGATTGCACTGGGTCAGAAGAAATTATTTGGAAATCATACAGTTATACACAAACAGAATCCCAGATCATGGTTTTTTCATGATGTATGGAAAAGAGGTCAAAACCAAAACAGGGTATTTTTGACTTAGACTCCTCAAAAATCCAGCAGCAACCTAGGGTGTCCAGCAATGAAGAATCCGAGTAGTCTCTTTGTGGCAAAAATATGAATTAATAGGCTTTCCTGAGCAGGCAAAACTGCATTTCAACACAACAGCTAAAATTTTACTGTACCTTCGGAAAAAAAGGGCTTCGGTTTCACGAGGTTACAGGCCAGCTCCTTTCATCTCTGACCCAGAAGGCACAACTCCACCGTGGGGCAGTTTCCAGAAAAAACTGCAGAGGGAAGAAATCAATCCATCGGGATTCCAGGAAAACACATTTGATTCAGTAAACAGCACTGTCTGCAAGCCTCCTTTGCACCGATGGAGCTCTGCTCCGAGGATACCTACAAGTTACATGTGCACTTACCAGGAGAAGCGCTGGAGGAACGTGCCAAGTTGTGTTAGGAAATAGGAAATATGGCTGACACCATTATTTAATTATAACAGCCATCTTTTAACCCCCCTTGCAGCACAGAACATCCAGGGTATAATGCACATCCTGGGCATAATCCCTCCACCTGCTTCTCTTCTCTCGGGGCCTCTGAGAATGTGACAACAGAAAGAGTGAGCAGGAGCGAAGGCAGGGCTTGCAGTGAGGCATCTCAGCAATCCCAGCAAAATCCAGGCCCTCAGACACCTTTCTCTGGACAATTTCAGGACCACTATAATCTGTGTAAAGCAGGACAAGATGGACTGTGCAATTGTCGCAGAACCCATTGGAAAAATCTACTCCCGTGTAAGGGAACACCAAAGTGCCAAAAAAGTAAACACTAAATTGCTAATTAAAGTCCTTAGTTTAGAATATTTAAGGTAAGTATTTTAGAACATAATTTCATTTCTCTAGACTTTGTTCTACTGTCATTTAAGACTTCCTGTCAGGCGAGTTTTTAAATGTCTTTTTGGGGAGAAAAGTGCAGACTGCTTGGGATCACAAGACAGAAGGGCCAGTGCTCATATAAAAGAGCGTTAGTGAGATTTTAAGTCTTCCCTAAGTATTCCCCGAGGCTGCATTTTATTGTGTTTAAAACAATGCTATCCATTAGCCTCTCGTTTGGCAATATAGACTGGGGCTGGGCAGCAAACAAAGGGCTGATGACTGAAAACACTTCAGACCAAGTGGACAGTCAGCCCATCCCCAGGGAACCAGGCCCTCTCTAGCACTGTGGGCACAGCTTTCCACAGGAATGCAGGTACTGCTTATTCAGGGCAGTGAAAGGAGCCTGATCCACACCTTCCATGGTGCCGGGCAGCTGCTGGAAAGCACCCCAGTATCACCTCTGGCTGCTGCAAATGGCCAGAGAACACAGCAGCAATGTAAACAAACCATCCTTGAAAAGCTCCCCAAAACGCAGCAAAAAAAAAAAAAAAAAAATTAAAAAAAAAATCATTCTTTTAACGCACAAACTGGTGCCAATCCACAAGAGTTCCCCTTTCAGCAGCTGCCAGGATAAATTTCCCCTTTGGGCAGACGGTCCGAAACCTGAGCCCATCATCCATGAGAATGTGCAGCTTGACTTGAGCACACAGGGAAAAAAAAACCCGGGGAATTCTGCCCAGGGAAATTAATCATTCTCAGCACCTCTGCAGATCCAGTCTGTCCCTTCAGCCCTGACCTACATACTGCACACACGGCGCTTCAAAACAATCTGACATTTAAATCAAAACTGCCCAGCTTCCCGCTCCCTCCCTTCATTCCCACTGGACAAACGGTTGACTGGCTGCCCTTGGAATAACTTACTTAGTGGTGCCCCAGGACATTCGTGGTCTCCACTGGATTTTTTGCACCCAGGATTGTCCTGAACTGCAGATTAGAGCTGTCACCCAGTGTGGAGTTTGTTACACACCGACTGGGTTTCAAAGCATAAAGGAAAGGTGGTGGGCAAAGGACAGGGAATATTTAAATATAATCCCAGAATCATGGAATGGTCTGGGGTGGGACTCTCAGGATAGTTTTACCCAGCTGCCTTGGACAGGGAACCTTCCATCAGAGCAAGCCTCAAACAAAGCAATGCTGTCACACCCACCTGCTTCCTTGGAGCTTCCTTGAGAAAAGGGGCTGCTCAGAGAAGAACTTCACCGTGCAGAACCTCTGCAAAATCAAACAAATTTTCCAGTTAAGGTAGAGCAAAGCAGATTCAGGAAAGCTTTTGTCACGAGTAAGTCGAACGTTACGGGCACAGACCGAGGTGAACGAAGTGAACAGAAATGTGAGCTTTTACTGCAAAGAACGACAAGCATCAGAATATGGTTATTTTAATCTTCTTTTTAGTTAAGACAGTAAAACTTAACACATTTACATTTCCCACTATGCCCACATGCACTATGAAACAAACATCATCCCAGCATTAGTGGGAGAAAGGTCCACTCCTGGGAAATCACTTCTGCCTCCTTTCAAATAGTTAACTGCCAAATCCATAAGGCTGGAGCCTGTAAAAATGGGATGGAGCAAACAGTAAAACATCATGGAAGTGTAAGTGTTCAATGGGGAACAACTCCAGCCAATGTGGCTGTGATTTCATGCTTTTCCTCTGTAAAAAAGAGGAGCCCGTCCCCATTTCATAACTCCAGGGGGAACGGGTCCCACATTTTCAGGATTGCCTGGAGCCGTAAGGGAATCACGCCTCACCTGAGGCACTCAACAGGCAAGGGAAGCTCTGGGACTAACTGATGTACTGAGAGGAAGGAGAGAATCCAAGAAATTGGAGTGCCTGTCCAATGCTCTGATCACTCACCCTCTCCCTCCTCTCGGGAATCATTTTATTCTTACACTGCTGCTCTGGGATTTCTTATGGAATAATACCTATTCCTTTAACTTGCAGAGATAATGACTAATGGGCACAATTTCCTGTACCTAAGGAGGCAGTTTCCTTTCCTGTGCCACGCTCCTCTCCCCCAAAAGGAAAGCATTAATTGCAGCCCCAGCAGTCAGAGCAGGAGTAACGTTTTCCAGAACTGTTCCATTCCCTTTGTTTCAGCGCTATTGGAACAGCGTGTGGCACACTCGGGGTGCAACCCTCGGGTTTACTGTTGCCTTCCCCCCCCATTCTGTGCCATGAGGAACAGCCCACGGCTACCCTGGGGTGGAGATGTGCTCACCCACACCTGGCTGCTGACACGTTCCCGAGTGGCACAGATCGTTCCAAAGGGATGCAGTGCTGCTCCTCGACAGGGGGATCCCACTGAAATTGTTGTAGTCACACCAACAGGGACCTTGCAGATAAAGCCTGGAAAGTGAACAACAGCCTATGTGCAATGTTTTCTATTAAATACCTGAGGATGAAAGTGTAATAAAATGAAAATTCTATAAAAAGTTGTGATTTTAATAGCCTCAGTTACTAAGTTCAGTTTTCTGGAGACTTGGCAGCCTTTCCTGGAATGGACTAGGATATCTGAAACCTCTTTTGTTCTCTTTCTCCTTTTTTTTTTTTAGCATAGCTATTTGCAACCGTCAATGAGTAGTGGCAAAATATGACATTTGGAATTAACTCTGAAATCCTGGAATTGTCCAGTGACCAAAAAAAACCAAAGCAGAACACTTCAGTCTTCAAGCAGAGTATCTTTAATCCTCTTTTAATAACTGGGTTTCACTGTGTTAACATATTACTTTATATTATATCAACCCCTCGATGGCTGACATGCTCAAAGAGCACGAGGGAAAGGGTTTTTACTTCAGTATTTCACAAGAATTTTATATGGGCTGTGAAGTGTTCTTGCAATCTACATCAAAACATTTGTGTGTTTTCATTCCAATGGAATCTGCATTAATATCTTTCCCTAATTACAAATTATCTGCTCATTGCAGGGAGTCCAAGTGCTTTGGAGGCTACAAACCCAGAGCATTTTGATTTTAATAAAAATAATAAAATTTGCACAGTGCCCCTGCTATTTTTTTTTTTCCAGCCATCAGATGTCTGGACTGACTGCACATTCCAGCACTCTGGAAAGGAGATTCTGCCTCATGTAATAGCTAAAGGAATGTTCCAGTGTCACTGCTGGGGAGGATGCAGAGGGCTGAATGCATTTAAAAAACAACTTGAAAAACCTACTCTGTGTATTTTTTTATGAAGTCACCTAAAAACCTTGTGTTTCCTGGGTATGTTTTAATCTCCAGGCAACACAGTTCTGCTCTGCCTAAGACAGATCCCTGGGTATTTCAATCCACATCATGCTGCTCAGGCAGCCAAATGGCAGGGAACAGAGTCCAAAACCAGCCTCAATCCACACAATTTGAAGTCTGCCCATCACCAAAACACGTAAATATAATGGGATACAAACTCTGCCCTCACTCACCTGACATTAGATATTCCTGCTCCATCTAGTACACCTATTTTTAACCAACTTTCTATTGAAACAAGCTTCTCATCAATAGCAAAATGTAGTAAAATGTACAAAAAAATAGGCTAAAAATCTGAAAATCTGTTGCTTAAACTGCAAAATACCAAGATTTTTGTTGTATTTGGGTTTTATCACTTTCTGTCACCTTTAAATGCCAAAATCAATGTAAATTGTCTGTTAAGTGCAGCAGTTGTAACAGATCAACTCATTTTATCCTCAGTAGAAATGCACAAGAGGACAAGAGACTTTTTCAACAGACCTGTGTAGTCTACGAGGAATGAAAGCAAGATGTTGTTCATGGGGTTTAAAAAGGCTCTGTAGAAATTACAAAACCTTGACAAATCAAACAATTGCTCAGATCGTGCCAGGTTTGAACAACATCCCACCAAAGCCTCTCCTAAGGATGCCCTTTCCTATTAAATTTGCCCTAGCAACGACCACGTGCAGGAAAGGTTATCAATGTCTCTGAATGCTAAAACCTTTCTCAAATGAGAAACCACAAGGGAATATGTTCTAAACTGAGGGGAAGCCGTTTTTCAGGGAGGGTAAGATTGTAAATGTACTGTATGATGTTTCAGAGCATCTTTGCAAATAGCCTACAGCCATGAGGGTCTAAGGACACACTCCTGAGGGGTAGACAACACTTTGCCCACATCTGATCTGCCATCCCAGCTCCTGCTTCCCCGGGACCAATGGGAAGAATGCCAGAGAAAATCAAAACTGCAGGCAGCTTGCATGTTTGCCGTCATTTTGATAAAAAAAACAGTCCAAATAAAATACAAATAAAGGGATTCTGTGTAGAAATGTCTCCCAAGCACAACAACACCCCCAGAGACTTGAGATATCAGGAAGGGACGGTGTCCTGTGTAAGGAACATGAAGATGCAAAATCTACAAATGTCACTCTGGGGCTTTATGGCAAATTATTACCTGGTTTGGTGAATAATGCTGAAATTCTAATGTAGCAGAAAACCCAAGAATTTGTATTAATTTATATGTAATTCCATTTCTCCCTTAAGGGTATAATGTGTGATTGTAAAGCACTTTTGCAGGTCCTCCCCAGCTCCCAGCTCTGTCTCACCTCCATCATGTATCCCAAGCAAGAGCACTGGGGTGCGTGCACAGGCCACAGACACACACACACGGAGCAGGAATCAGCTCTGCCCCAGTTTTCCTCCCATTCCAGCAGCCAGGATGAGGCTCCACACAATCTGGCTGTGCTTGGCTGCACGGTGCCACCTGGGCTGGCCCAGTGTGCACTGGGCTAGGAAAATAGCAGGATCACATTTTCCAGCTTCATTCCAGCTGATCCCAAGAGCAGCAAAGTTTCCACATAAAGCAAATGGCACTTTTTCGTTGTATCCTGCCAGTCCTTGCAAATGGTACATCTGAGAGCAGGAGTGTTTAAGTGATGAGAGTCATTCTGAGAAGAAAGGAATCATTTGCTATAGACCTTTTAATGTTGTGCCTCAGACTGGTGTCACTCTCAGGATAAACAGATACATAAATAACAGATACATAAATAACAAGAAACAAATAAATATACAAGTAATTTGCATGAAAGAAGCTTCCATTTTTTTCACAGCCAAAGGCTGTGACAAAGAAACTACTCTTTATAAAATAAGAGGCATTTTTCCTGTATACCTGAGAGAAATCAATAGGAAGAAATAAAGACCAGCCCCACAGTACCTAGTATTAGCAGAATGTCTTATTCCTTCACCCTCTAAAGGTCACATTCCCAACAAACCTTGAACTTCAGGTTGACTGATCTTGTGGGCTTGACTGGAGTTGAGGAGGTTCAGGAAGCTTAGGGATTTTTATTTTAAACAGTGTTTAAAGCAACCATGCATCCTATGGAAGAGGGGGAAGATGGCTGACCCAGAGTGAGATAACACTGCTTTTCATCACGTTTAATTGCCAAAGAACATCTTGCACTTACCAAACAGAGAGGGGAGGGAGAGGTCCCCCCTGCGCTCTCCCGTCTGTTTTTCCAGCAGACTCCTACTTCCTCTCCCAAAGCACTGTGCAGTCCCACTTTGCTGCTGGCTTCCAGTCCCAACAACTGCCCCAAAGAAGGGCTTGCTGAGAGCGGGCAGCACAAGGGGTAGTGCCACCAGTCACATCATTCCTGCTGTGCCCATGAGGACGCCATCCCGGATATACAGTCAGGAATATCCCAGGTGGGAGCTTTTGGGGTGAAATCTGCTACACAAAGGCACACTACCATGGCCAGCGTTTCATTTCAAATGGAACATATTTGTCTAAGAAATAACTGAGGCACTGGGGAACGCTGGAATTAAGTCAGAACATGAGATTCATGGAATGTTTGCCAATCCTAGTAGCAATCCGAGGGAGGGCCAGGTTTGGCATCTAAAAGGATTGTTTTTCACTCCGATAATAGCAGTGAAAATGAAAATGGGTCCATCAAGTCCAAAGCTGGCAATGGATCCCATGGCCCTGGGACTGAGACTTCTTCATGGTCTGTGAATGCAACACATGCTGGAAAAAGGCAAACAATTGACATTTGATCCCATCCCTGGGTCTGAGGCAGAAAATTAGAGGCCTCCCATGTGGATCTCGTTTGGAAAGATAGAAGGGAAGGCAGAGGATTGAAAAAGTAGGTACAAACAGTGCTGGGCCCCATTTTGAGTGAGAGACATAGTCCAAATTCACAATGGATTTACAGTTCCTGTTGAACACTGATTGCACCAGAAAACACGGAAAGAGAAGAACACAACAAGCACCTGGGTCCTGAAGGACATCCTGCTACAGATTGGAACAGGTTCCCTGTGTTTGCAACATGTGAAAGCAAACAACAGAAAATAAAATCCAGGTGTGAGAAACGGTATGTGTTTTCTCTCGGAAAGCCAACCAATGCCTGCCACAGGAGTTTGTCAACATTGCCAGGAACTGAAATTAGGGCCATTTGCGACTATTTATAAATCTAAGTTTCATGGACACAAGTTTGAAGGGATTCCTGCGTAGGGACAAGGACCTTTATGAGGACAGCCCAAGAAGCTCTTGCCTGCAGGTGAGACATGATAACTGTTGATATGGACATTCTCATTCCATTACATCAGTTTTTAAAAAAAGGTGAATACTTTACCACAAAGGCTCACGGACACCACAGCCACATCGACTCGACTGCATTGAATTTCCAGGCTGGAGGCAGCCAGGCTTCTCTCTTCCATCTTTGATCTCCTTCAGACAGCTGGAACCTGCCTGTGAAGTGCAATGACATGTGAGATACGCTTGTCACCGACAGTTCTCTCTTTTGATCTTGGTGACCTAAGGCAAGACTGAAGTGGGTGCTGCCAATGCCACAAACAACGTTTTGATCCTGTTTTTCTCTTACAAAGTCAGGGCAATGCTAGATTCCAAAGGCATGGGGCCTTGTCCAACCCTACATTCCCTGGGAGATAAGGAAGGCATTGACTTTGGCTGAGAATATACAGATGGAACTGCCCAGATGCTTCAGCCAAGAGAGCACAAACGAGACAGAACCGAGTTCTGTTTGTCCATTCACACCCCTGCACTGGAAAACTCCCTATCCAGACACACTGCCTATTAACCTGGAACAGAAAACTGTGACCTGAGCATTATTTCAGCATTCAAGCAGGGACACAGCACAAATGATTTACAAAATGAGCTTAATGAAGATACGCATTGGGTCACAGCTGCTGCTCGGACTAGACTGGAAGGAATCCAAACACCAGGAGGAAGTGGGAGCATTAGGAAATTAGAAGGGGAGATCAAGAGCTGGCTTCTGTAAAGAAATCTCAGCTTAGAAATCCAAAATATTTAATCCCAACCACCGATGACTCTTCCAGACCAGTGGAAGAACACCTGGAGTCTCTGCAGAGCAGCAAAGCCCCACCACAAGTTCTGTGTGTCCTTGAACTGAGCCAGCAAATAACAGGAGTGCTCGTGCTCCTGATGACTGCTCGTGTTATCCACAAAATTAGAGACTTTTTGGAGTGAGGAGGAATATTGGTGACTGAAATTTGTACAGATGGAACGTTGCCTGTCGTGTGGGGGAGAATTGGGGTCAATCTTATTAGACATAATAGGACTTCATTCATTATGGGTGAAAAGATTCAGCTCTTACCATTGTATGAGAGGATCAGTGCAGCTGTGGTTTAACCAAACTCACAAGAGGGTGAATGAAGCTACCGAGACAAACTAGACAGCAAATTTCCAAAAGCTGCTGGAATATTTAAGATTCCACCTCGTCTGGTTGATGCCTGTAAAACATAAATGCAATTTCCATTATGAGAAGCAATAAATATCAAACTGCTGCTGGCTTATATAAGAATTATTGGGGCTATCAATCCGTATCATCAAGGGATAAGCTGCTCACCAGCTGGGATCAGGAAGAAATCCCCTCTGCTCCAAGCCCACCATGGCTATAGTTTTGGATAATTAACAGGATATTGAGGAAAGGCAGATTAACACCTTGCTTAAAAGCATCCAGAAGTGGGATATTAGGCCAGATGGTCAATTATCTGTTCTACTAATGCAACTCTTCTACTCTTAAAAAAAATACACCATTGCTCAACAGAAATTCCCAACTATTCCTGGGTTTGGTGGTGCCATATGATTCACCAACCACTTGAACCACTGACATAGCAGCGGTGTTACTACAGTCAGTGGCTCCTGGGACATCTCTAAGTCAGGATCTCTCCTGCCAACCTCACTAATCACCACTGCAAATCAGGGAGCAGCCACCTCTGACTTCCACGGCGAAGCCATAACCAGATTCCGGAGGCCCCAGGATGCAGAGCCGTGGTCCGAGGCCTCCTGAGCTGCGGCTGGATAAGAGCACGCTGCTGCCATTCTGCTCCGAAGCCAGGGCTGCAGCTGTCTGACACAGAACTGTCGCCTACTCTTGGAGATGAGATGCTCACGTCAAAGAACTTAGAGAGGAAAAGAGACAGCAAGTATTCAGCCCACATCAAATTATTTTGGCAACGAAACCGATGAAGAAAAACACAATAAAAATGCTGAAAAGGACTTTTCCAAATGTTTCTTTGAACGAATTTGTACACAGCCAAGAGCTGCTGGTCCCACACCAGACTCCTAGGCCAACCTTTTCTTTTTTCCTTTTCATTTTCTAAAGATTTTATTGTTCCCCTTAAATTTTCAAGGTTTTTATAGGCAGAGAGAACGTCCTGCCAATTACTTTTCCTCTACAACTCTGCAAGGTATGTTTTCAGTGTTTTACCATTATTTTTTAGTATTCTAGGGTTTTGAATGGTACTAAAACTATATTCATTAGAACTCTGTTTTTCTTTAATTCTGTATAAAATGGGACAAGAGTTTCCAAGCTACATTTGCTTCTAGGAAAATTATTTTCTTTTCCTTAGGACAGAAGAAATATCTGCTCAGTGCTATTTTACTCAACAAAATGTTTTCAGAAACACGCTTGGGAAATATTCAAATCATGTCACGTAATGAAAAACTTCACCAGCATATCCTGGAAGTTTTGGAGAGTTCCAAGCTGTTGTGGGTTACACAGCCTACAGCAGGCTGTGAAATATATACAGTACTGGGAAAGAGATCACGTTAGCTGGATGAGCACAGGACAAGCAAAATTCATGTCAGAAGCTGAAGAGAGGAAGTCACGTCACACTTGAGCTGCACTCAACTTCCTCAGCTCTTGGGGGAGCTGCCCTGACCAGTCCCTAAACTGCTTGTGCCTTCCCTAAAGCAGTTCACAAGTTCTTCACAGGAACAAAGACGTGCTCGGACATTCCCTCGGGACTGGGCTCAAAGCAGTGGAATTCTACTCCCTCCCCATTAATCCCTGATGTACAACAAATGACATCTTGCAGGGTTAGGAAAAAAATCTTTTTTACCAAACAAACCCTATTGTCTGTCTGATTCTTGCGGTTTCCTGATGCTGGCTGCACTTTGGGGACAGCAATAATTCTGGAGGCTCTAAATGAGCCAGTGGGCTGGTTAAGAGGCTGCTCTAGTGAGGGCACCAAGGAGCCTCTAACCACGTTCTAAAACAAAAACCCTTTCACACACACACACACAATCTTAAAAATCAAGAATGTTTTCATTAACACCCTGTGTGCCAGTCTGAATTCAAGCTCTCTCAAGGATTAGGAATGCCAGCACAATCCTGTGGCAAAGGCTGGAAGCTACCCCAGAAAACTCCATGGTGCAAGTTAATACAGTAAACCTGTGAATTCAATACATCTAAATCCAAACTTTCAGTTATGCAATATTATAAACTGCAGAAACACTTTCCCTGGAAGTGCTCGAGGCCAGGCTGGACAGGGCTTGGAGAAACCTGGACTAGTGGAAGGTGTCCCTGCCCCTGGCAGAGGGTAGGAATGAGATGACCTTCAAGGTCCCTTCCAACCCAAACCATTCTGCGATTCCATAATAAAATTTACTGCTTACATTTCCTTGGGACTTGCTAAAAACCATAAGAAGATGGTATATGTTTTATAATCGGGGCAGCACAATAAATACTACTGAAATTAATAATGGTCCTGTTATGCTAACATTAGACTAATAAATAACTTGAGCCTGCTATTCCCCAGAACACAGTTATTTTTCTAAAGACTTGTTAGTTTTGGAAGCGTTTCCCACGCACATTGTATTTTTCAGGAACAGAACAACACTTCTACCCTTTATTGGATGAGACAAAAAAAAATAACAAATGCTAAAGAGGTGTGGCCATTAAAAATCATGTGCTATCATTGGCGAGAGCTCCAGCAATCAAGCCAGCTCCCCAGGGTGGAAAGAAGAATTCTGTCTCTTATCCACTTCCCAGGTTATTCCAGATCCCGAGTTCAGGCAGATCTAATATAAAACTGCACTTGATGACACATGCAGTTTTGAAGCCAAACCTTCTCTCTCTGCTACATCATAACTTTCCTTTCACAGCAAGGGGAAATTCCTGACTCTTCACTGACATCTGGCATTCACTTGTCACCCACAGGTACTAAATCATCCCTATGGTCCCTTCCAACCCAGACTATCCTATGACCTTAAGAATTGGATTATTTTCTATAGAAAATTACTGCTATTAAAAAAGAATATTTATATATAGAATATAAATATAAAGAATACATAAAGAAAATCTCTTTCTGAAATATTCACTTGACTAACGGGCTTATGCCTACCAGACAAAAATGGCTAAACTATTTCTATTCGAAGCTTAATAAAAGTCTGGAATAGGTTCAGAATTTGTGGTGATAATTTTAAATCTTGAACTTTATTCTGAACCATTTTGAGACAGGTCAATTGTTTAAGCTTCATACCATACTAGAGAACTATGGAACACCTTGTGTCTGTCCACTCCCCTTTTAATGTATATCAAACTGTTATTCACTTCCAAATTTATCTGTCTCCCCTCTTTTTTTTCCTCCTCTGGCCAGAGATTTTTTCTCCTACAGTCTGTACATCTCATCCTCAGGTAGATCCTATGTCCTGCTGAACTGAAATCAGATAAATACACCGACTAAAAGGCCCTTTCCAAGTTTCTCTTTCCCCATTAGCTGCCACAGCTCTCTCCCCAAGATACCCATTTGTTTACAAAGACCTGTGAATTACAGCCTTTGACACTGAAGTATTGGTGCTTTAAATAATTGTTACTGGAGACACATCAGCCAGACAAAGAGGCAAAACCTTGGCTGGGATAGTTTTGCATACTCACAACAAGATTTACTTGCTGTGTCCTTTCTGGAGAGTGGTAAAACCTTGGAGCTGGGGATGTAAATAACTTGTCTGGCTGAGCTAAGTGCCGCTGTAGAATACATTTACTAAACGTTCTAGCAGAGGTTAGAAAATTGCTTGGAACGGCTTGGAAACTGCTCTTGAATTAAGAGACAATTGGTACAGAAAACAGTTGCATGACAATCAGAAAAATGCTTACATTCTGAATACTTAAGAGTGTTACCTGGTGAGGAAAAAAAAAAAAAAAAAGGCGCAATTTAAAACTAATTTACTCACGTGACTGTAAGAGCCCGTCCATTTTTAGTGCATCATTCACAGTCAGGTGACACGCAGAAGAGAACAGCCTGGATGTGCCAGCACTTCCCCCTCCAAGTGTTTCTGTCACTCCTCACCTCTTGCCTCGTCTTCTGGCTCCCTCCCACCTGAGACAGCCTCGCCATGGCCTTTTACTCCTTCTGCTGCACCTTCGAGTCCATCCCTTTTCCACCTGAACAAACACAGGTTATTTCCATTTTGCAAAGTGTCAGAGTATCTACCGACTTCTCTACTTGTCTAGTGCAACTCAGGCAGGAAGTTGATTTTGGATGCACCAAAGTATCTCCAAAGAAAGACTATAAATCACGGTGCTGCTTTTGCAGCTCCAGAGCAGACAGCACTGAAGCCTTGTGGAACCAGTCTGTTCTCTCCTTACCTCAGCATGAAGGTTCGAGAGTTCTGGGTTATAATTTAGACAACTGGGCAAGTTCTGGAAAATTCCACTTTAATATCCACTTTCAGGTGGATCTTTTCTTTCCTAAGTATTATACACACCTCCCTGCTCCTGCAGAGTCCTCCTGTGCAACCTGCCCCAAAATGGGCTGCTGAGGGCCCCAAAATGGCGGAAACTGACTGAGGGGCTGCCCCAAAATGGCGGAAACTGACTGAGGGGCTGCCCCAAAATGGCGGGCACTGACCCAGGGGCTGCCCCAAAATGGCGGACTGACCTGATAGCCTGTCCCAAAATGGCGGGCACTGAACCCTAGGCTGCTGAGAGCCCCAAAACGGCGGGAAATGACGCAGGGGCTGCCCCAAAATGGCGGCAGCTGACCAACAGTCCGGCCCAAAATGGCGACCTTCGTGGATAAAACAGATTTTAAAAGCACCTGAGCCCACTCTGGATCCCAAGGGGGTAAATATATACATTTCTCTCTCCTTTTCCTTTATATTTCTGTCTTTCTTTCCTCTCATAACTTCTTCCCAAAATATTCCCAGACCAAAAATTCCAGTCAATGCCTCAGGAAGTGCCTTGTTGTGTCTGCATAAGTTAAAGTTTGAATAGTGCCCCTACTTTGCCTGGATGTTGTTTTAAACTTTGCCGAGTACCTTATTCTACCTTAATGTTCTACAGTTTGCAAGTGTGTTACCGAATCTCCTGAGAATTCTGTTGTTTCTCCCACACACTGCCCATAGTAAATCACATTACCTTCCCCTAAACCGGCCCAGGGACCCGGGCTTAACGATCTTTAATTCTAAATTAGTTCTTAAAAAACAAACAAAAAAAAAACAAAACAACCCACCAACCAACCAAACCAAACCCAGGTCTCACCAAAAGGATATCAGGTTCTTGATGAAAAACTGCTTTTTATCCCACTCCGGTGTTCCCAGGTGCACCGTTCCTGGCTCCCCTGTGGCGTGAGGTACTTAAGAGCCGTGGGGATGTGGCACCGGGGGGGGGGGGACACGGGTGTGGCCTTGGGCAGTGCCGATCCTGGAGGGCTTTTCCAACCTTAAAGACTCTATTTCCATGACAAAAGAAACATACCTCGATGTATTCCTGGGGACCGCACCTTCAGGCTCCTCAGGGCAGGGGTGCCCTCTCCTGGGCGCTGACTCCGCGCTTCCCACCCAGCTCTCCTCTGCTAGGAAACCTCCCCAAAACGAGCTTGGGGGGGAAAAAAAATAATAATTAAAAAAAAATAAATAATAATAAAAAAGGTCAGTTACTTGCAGCTGGCACAGAAAAGTCTATGAAAGAGTAAAAGGTACTTCATTCTATCAATGTTTGCGAAGGAAAAAAAAAATCAAAGGTTTTTGGGGAAAAAAACACTGTTAGAAAACACTGATATAGAAGGAAAAAGTGGTTTTGGGGTACCACAAAATATTTGGAAAGCTGCTAACCCCTGGAAGTGTGACAGAGCCCGGTATGGATAACCCATCCCTGCCCAAAATACTCTGCCCGGGCTGGGTTCAACTTCAGCAAAGAACTGCCTGAAATTTGGAAGTCAAGCACAGAAAGGTCTTAGCTAGAAACGAATTTTTTTTTTCTAGAGTATTATATTAGGGCCTAAAATCAAAAAGGACCACGAGAACTGCATTTTTTCCCCAATACACTAGCACTATGGAAAATCTGGGGAGAAGTATAATTCGGGAATGCTTTTTGATTATTGAAAACCTAGATTTGTTTGTTCTAGACAGTGAAATACTTGGATCAAGTGTTGCTTACAAGATGAGCATCCTGAAAATAAATCTGAGAAGCCACTTCATAGTCATTCCAAGAAAGCCCCAAGAAAAAGGTTAACTATCAAAAAATTGAATTTTAGAATGAAAAAAAGGTCATAAATGTATTAATTGTTTTGAAGCTGCAATTTACCTGTCTCTACAATAGAGTTTTCCCTTGGAATTCTGGATAAAAAAATTCTGAATAAAAACATGAGTTCCTACTACAGCCCAGTTAAAAATCCCAATTTTTCCTGTTACAACAGGAAATCACTTTGCTACATCAGCAGCACAACTGCAGATCATCTTAAAGCTCCCACATACAGACCCAGACAGAGGGGTGTGCGTACATATTTAAGCAGTAGAATACACCTACTACACGAGTGTTTTCCAACTTCATTTAAAGCCCAGCCATGTCTCTCGCAGCAGGGAGGAGCTTTAGCCGCCCCCGGGATGTGCTATTAAAAGTGGTGACACCTCTTTGCATAAAAACAATGCTGGAATGCTCAGCGCCGAGGGATCCATATCCCTGAGCGCTCAGGCTTGGCTAACGAAGGGATTAATTCACCCCAGGTATAACTGCAATAATAAGAGAAAAAGAGGCCAAACACGTTTCAAGGTCAGTGCAGGTTGGTTCTGAGCGTGTCAACTTTTTCCACCACACAGAGCTCTTACATGAAAATACAGCTGCTGGCTTTTTTTCTGGTTTGTGTGTTTGTTTGTTTTTGGTTTTTTTTTTGTTCGCAAAATGCAGCAGGTTTCAGCAGTTAATTCTCCTGGGATAAAGGATAGAACTGGCTATTTTCTGGCTATGTCAAATGCATATCACTGCTTCTCAACTCACCTTGCAGCATCTGGCAGAGGTCTGTCTGTCTTTCTAGGGAACAAAATCATTACAAATGTTTCCTAAACTGATGCTTTTAACCTGGACTTTACCAAAAAGTGTGGGTGGGGGTAATAGATTTGAGAGAAGACAAATGCTTTTGAGCATTTCTTCACCTAGCAAGTGTGAGGGAAACACAGAAAACACTAAAATACTGCAGATTTTTCAGTGAAGAGAAGCACCTACACATAGAATACAGGGTCTTCCCTCACATCTGGCATCTCCAGAATGTTTGGGTGCTTGAAAAATCCTGAGAGCAGAAAGCTGGAGTATGGAAGCTTAGCTAAATCTTCTCTTTTTCTTCCTGAAAACTCAAGAGTGCTGGGGTTTGGGTTAATCCTCATTAACAGGAAGAGGGGGAAATCAATGGAAACTAATCCATAATTCCTATCTCTGCCTTTACACGATGCTTTAAAGCAATTTCTCCCTTTGGATGGAAGTCAAAAAGATCCATGCAAAAAATTTGATACTCCAAGGAGGAAAAAAAATTGGTGCTGTGCTTTTTCAGCTTGCCAAGTTAAAGGAACGTTGTTGAGGACTCTCTTACATAAATGTTCCTCGACCTCTGAATGAACCAACAGGTCTTAAAAACTGCATTAGCCAAAGCAAATTCCCAAAGCAAATGAAACATTTAGCTGAGTGCATCGGGTTTTTCTCGGAGCAGCACAAAGGAAACTCCAAATGGCAAGTTAGTGTTTCCTGCTTGGGTCTAAATGAGCTCAATAAACTCGCGGTGAGCAGCTGCCAGCGTCTAGATAGTAAAACTGGAATACACCACACTAATCCTCCAGGAGGAGGCAGCTAAAGCTGATGGGAGCAGTTTAAGGCAAGTGTGGAATGCCTGAGGTCCAGGTTGCTGCTAAAGTACCTCTTGCTCCTCAGGGCAGGGGGGCAGAGAGCACTAGGAAAACCATCCTACAACCCCAACCGGCACTCTCATTCCAGCTCCATTCCCCACAGCATGGCCCAGAGCCTCGTGCAGGCCATACACCCCTGAGCATCCATTACTGTGTGCACCGAGGCAGGGCTGCCAGCAGTGACACAGCCTGTGGCCATTTACCACTGCCCCGGGACACGGGTACACAGGGAGGAAGGAAACTGCACCCACAGCTTCAGTCCTGCCATTTAAATACTCAGCTCTGCAAACCAAGGGACCTTTAGCAGCGTTTGGCAAATAGATGTGCACCCTCAGGGCACATTTCCTCTTTGGGTCTGGGGTAAAATATATATCGACATATAGTCTATTAAGTAAAAAATAAAATTCAATGAAAACCAACCCGAATGCGGATATTTTAAAAAAATTTTGCAGTCACCCAGATGCACCTATCCAGGGTGATGATTACACACCTCAAGAGGTGAATTCATGTCACAGGGAACATTAATGAACTTCCCTGAGTAAATTCCTTTGAGCTAAACTGTCATCTGCACTCAGGAAAACAGCTCTTAGAAGTCAGGTCCTGTTTCCAGGATCCAGTGAACTACTGTGACATGCAGCAGAAAAACCTGTCTTATGGCTGTGCAACAGCAAACAAAACCTGCATTTCCAAATTCCTTAATTAGTTTTGCTTATACTCCCCTACACAGAGCTTTTATGGCACCAGAATCAGGCCTTTGACATGGCTTTGGGGTGGTGTCCCCTCGGGTTTGCAGAGATACTCAGCATCCCAACATCACATTTCAGCAATAAAAGGTAACACGGGCTGCAAGCTTGGAGCAGCAATTGAGTTTGTTCCCAAAACAAAGCAAAAAGTCTTCCTAAAATAAGCTGTGGGCATTTAATCAGTGATAAACTTCAGACAGCTCACACAGTTGACCTCTCAGAGCTTTTGTTCTGCAGCTTGAGGGGTATTCTAAACTTTGAGAGAGCAGCTCTGAGGAGCGGTTTATATGCATAACTTCCTCCCATAAACCAGAAATATTTAGATGGAAACAGGAAGAAAGGATTCTGCCAAGCATGCTGGAATGCTTATCCCTAAACCTTAAGTTACAGGGAAAAACAAGTGTTTGTTGTTAAATCACGTCAATGTTTCTGGCAGTCATTTTACACATGGAGCAGGGGAAATGCTTCTTTGCCCTACAGGGCTTCCAAATCGTGGCATAATCGAAGGGATAAAAAAGAAACAATATAACTCTACTCTTTGGAGGAAAAAAATTGAGTAAAAGGAGAAAAGATAAATGAAAGCTTTATCCCACTGAAATCAGTCACAGAATTCCTGCTGGCAGCAGCAGGTTCAAGATTTCAGACTCTTTGGAAGGATGAATTTAGATTAATTCGGTCAAGTGAAGCATAAAAATCAACACACTTGGCCAAAATTAG